CGTGATTCCTTTAGATAACTCAAAATACACTAATTTAGTCACCGGTAGTCAAAGCACGCTAACACACACACACCCTGAAGTTGATCCACTGCCTAACGTATAGGGCTTTTGCGAGAGGAAATGGTCCCCAAAGAAAACCACCAACCATGAATTAGAAAACCCGGCACCCACAAAAGAAACCGATTTTTGATTGATTTGAACACATTGAACACATTCTTCAGGTCCTTCAGTCAACCATGCATTCGGAAACACCACACATTGGAGTTTCCGTCTTATTAGAACACATCAGTAGTGTACATCCACCGTCCTACTCTCCGGGATTTGAACTCCGGACCTGGTTGGCACAGTGGTAACGGCAATCTTCCATAAGATGGGTTCGGAACTCAAATCCCGGACGGTGAGACGGTAGATATGTACTACTGATGAGCTCTAACAGAAGTGAAACTCGACTTGGTTGTGCTTACGAATGTATGGCTAGCTGAAAGAGTTGAGGAATGTGTGTGAAAGTGAAGTCTGAAGGATGGTGAGTTCCGATCAATCAATATCAATTATCCCACACCACTACTCACAAGTAAGTATGATTGACATGTGAAGAAACAGATTATGAAACTTTAACTCGATTTTGATTTATTGAATTTACACACGGATTTACACACGTGTGTGCTAATATAAACAATATGAAGCGTATGTGATTTTCAGCCTTGATCAGATTATTAATCGTATGATCGAGGGACGGTGAGTTGCCTATGTTGGGTGCGTTTGTTCAAATGTCTGCTGCTGCTGCTGCTGCATTCCCTGAAATCGGTGAGAACGACACTATTGGTACGATAAAAATAATGATGTGCATGGTAAAAATAATAATTGATGATAAATATTACATTAATAATAGGTAAACTTGTCCTACATCCGGTTCGATTTAGTCATTCTGGCCAACGTGTCCTGGAACAAAGTGGTCATTGTGACCTTGAGGCCATTTGGGCACCAGGCTAAAAACATTTCCTCCCTGTTTCATCACCTTGTTGATCACCTCACTTGATGCGGACACATCTTTTACAGGCCATTCGAGTTCTCCTTTGCACACACACACACACACACACATACACACACACGCACGCACGCAATGTATCTGCCGAATTCATAGAGTAGGTGTCCGTTTACTCTTTGGTTTAGCTCCCAATCTACTTGCATTTCTGCTCACTACAACCTTCCTCCCCCCCCCACCCCCGGACTTGACCCGACAAATCGATACACACAGAAAAGTAATCCACACAGCAAGAAAGCAAGAGAAAGAGTGGTGGGAAGGGACTGAGTAGAAGGAGAAGTGGAACAACATGGTTTGGCCTCCTCACGTCAAAAGGATTAAGGTGAGGTCAGCAGGCATTAAGTGTGTTTATGTCATTTCCGTTCAGTTGTTGTTGTTGATGATGATGATGATGATGATGATGATGATGATGATGATGATGATGATGAATGATGATTCGGTTGTTGATGATGATGATGATGATGATGATGATGATGATGATGATGATGATGATGATGATTCGAATGATGATGATGATGATGATGATGATGATGATGATGATGATGATGATGATGATGAACTGTACAACTTTCGACGGGTCAGAGTGGTAGATTAGTCCGGCACACGGGTGCAGTGTAGTGAGACGGGGATTAAACTGGAATTGAGTGGTACAAATGGGATGATTATAAACAGGGACAACGACAGCAATAACAAAAACAACAACAACAACAACAGTATCGGTGACAGTGATCAACCCTCTTACGCTACTTGTGGCAAAGCCATTAGATTAGTGGCGGAAAAAGTCATGTGGCGACTGTGTACCTGTTCGTTATAGACTAAAGCGCGAGTAATGCATGTATGCATTACTGGTTGAGTGCTATTTGATACGATCACAACCAATCTGTGAGTGAGCAAACATTAGCGGCGACCAAACGCACTCAGTAGGTTAGTTTGTCCTTGTCCGACATGATTAGAATTCGAGGTTTCGAAATAGGTACACTGGATGAATGCTGAGTGATTATTTTAGAGTAGCAAGCTTGGATTAGCCCATTCGATTGTTCACAGGTACCAGGCACTCTTGCTGGCCTCGAGTGTGGGTTTCACTACTTGGGAGATTGTTCATTAATTGTTTTTAAAAATAGCATTAATCACTGTGAGTAACGCTGCTGAACGGACAAAATTGTTTGTCCAGTTCGCATGGACGAATATTATATGCATGCATAATCGCGAAATTATTCCCCATTTGAGTAGTCGTGAGAACACACAAACAAGCTCGTTTTCGGTGCAACATCAACTGGCTCAATGTAGCAAAATTTATAATAGATTAAAACAGGTGAGGAGAAGAGACAAATATTTGCGAAGGAAATCAGAGTTTGAAGATAAATGATGGATTTGTGATAATTGATGTTTTTCAGTGTGTATGTCTGTGTGTGTGTGTGTGTGTGTGTGTGTGTGTGTGTGTGTGCGCGCGCGCGTGATAAGTGAGAGAGAGAAGGTGGCTGTGAATGGTTGGGTAAGTGAATGAATGGTAAACCATGGTAAGACCAATGTTCTTACAAACTGTTTCTGAGCGCACAAGGGGTGTGTGTGTGTTTGTATGGAGACGGATGACAATCGTAGCTCGGGATGCGGATTTTGTAGGTGTGTTGGTGTGTTTTCCGAGCGGGAAGGTTTGTTCGCTTGTTGTTGGCTACGAAACATCTGCGAAAAACACTTCCAGCACGGAGAACACACCAACAACAACGGATGACACAATTCGGGACTTAACCTCTTGAATAACCTTCCCTTGATCGTAGAGAGAG